TAGAGAGACATCATGGAAGACAAATAATGGAGCTCAATCTTTAAGTATACTCAAGGAATTAGAGAAGCAGAAAAAAATGAAACATGATTTTTTGGGAAAAAATCAAGGAAACAGATCAGTTAAACGTTAATAGGGCTACCTTGCATATGGTTCAAAAGAGTACACTAAATCATAGTTAAGTCCAGAGACAAATTTGAAGATACCAACTTATGCTAACAAATTGTCTTTTTCATGCCCCAAGAGTCCTTGAATATTCTTCCCATTATTGCAATTCTTTCTACCTTAGAGTAGATTACTTTTCTTTCAAGGGTGCATTTTAGATTTCAGGAAAACAATTGTTTAATTCCATGTTTGTTCAGTATATCACTAGATGGTTTGTCATATTATCATAATGAGAATTATTAATAAAAATTCATGATAAAATGTTGATGATAAAAAGTTGATGATAACTATGTGGTGAATTATTGAAGAGTTGATTATCACAATGAGGTCAAGCTAGAGATAAGTGAAGTACCAGACAGTCCTCTGTTACTGAGCATACGTTTAATTTAGATAGTAATACAGAAGACAGTTACAATTTGTGAATTGAATTGAGTTGGTAAGGGAAAGCTATTGTACAGAGGTTAAGCCACCCCACCACTTGGGATGCCAACATCCCAGATAAGAGTGCCAGTTGCTGTGCTGATTGTTCTGCTTCCAGTCAAGCTCCCTGTTAATGCAATGTGAAGCAGCTCAAAAACTTGAGTTCCCACCACCCACGTCAGGTAGCCCTGAAGGAATTCCTGGCTCCTGGATTTTTCCTCACCCAGCCCTGGTTGTTATGGGCATTTGGTGTGTGAACTAGTGGATGGAACATATTTGTGTGTGTGTGTGTGTATGTGTGTGTGTTTGTTTTTGCTTTTCAAATACATAAATAAATTTAGAAAAAAATGAGTTAATGATATGAATGAATTAATTAAATATAATATTAATTGGCAGGCACCATGGCTCAACAGGCTAATCCTCCACCTAGCGGCGCTGGCACACAGGGTTCTAGTCCCGGTCAGGGCACCGGATTCTTTTTTTTTTTTTTTTTTTTTTTGACAGGCAGAGTGGACAGTGAGAGAGAGAGACAGAGAGAGAAAGGTCTTCCTTTGCCGTTGGTTCACCCTCCAATGGCCGCCGCTGCAGCCAGCGCACCACGCTGATCCGATGGCAGGAGCCAGGATCCAGGTGCTTTTCCTGGTCTCCCATGGGGTGCAGGGCCCAAGCACCTGGGCCATCCTCCACTGCACTCCCTGGCCATAGCAGAGAGCTGGCCTGGAAGAGGGGCAACCGGGACAGAATCCGGCGCCCCAACCGGGACTAGAACCCGGTGTGCCAGTGCCGCAAGGTGGAGGATTAGCCTATTGAGCCACGGCGCCGGCCAGGGCACCGGATTCTGTCCTGGTTGCCCCTCTTGCAGGCCAGCTCTCTGCTGTGGCACGGGAGAGCAGTGGAGGATGGCCCAAGTGCTTGGGCCCTGCACCCCATGGGAGACCAGGAGAAGCACCTGGCTTCTGCCTTCAGATCAGCGTGGTGCGCTGGCCACAGCACGCCGGCTGCGGCGGCCATTGGAGGGTGAACCAACGGCAAAAGGGAAGACCTTTCTCTGTGTCTCTCTCTCTCACTGTCCACTTTATCTGTCAAAAAAATAATATTAATAACAGTCTCCATGAAGAAAATAATTACAAATGAATATAGAATTATATACATAAATATGAATGATTAATTTCTTCCATCCAGGATAAACTATTGATCCAGAAAGTTCAAAATACATATGTTAACCACTTAATAAAATAGTTCATGTAAAAAGTTATCTTAGTTATCTTTTAAGATAATAACTTTCATTCTCCAGAAGGGGTTAATTCAAATCATTATTTTTTAAGATATCACAACTATGTATCTGGGTAGCACACTTCATTATGATTGCTAAAAATTTAAACTCAATACTGGAATCAGAGCAAGATGAAATGGAGAAGTTGCAAACCGTGTCACAAAAATAAAGGTTATTGCAACTAGAATTGTGTAGTCCAGGGGAGAGAATATTTGACAAGGGGAACAGGGTATTATCACACTTTAATATTCTTACACTGCTGAAGTTCATTAGTATTCAATGCATGCATAGCTATTTCTCAGATTATTTGACAACATGCAGTCTTGCTGTTCAAGTTGTCTGAGAATCATTGATCCCAATATCAAAGTGTAGATGTGTTTGACAGGCTGTCATATGAAAGAAAACTTCTGTTTTTATTCCACAGGGTAAAAGCAGAATAAATGGTTATATGAATCAAGAAATTAGATATTTACTTCTATATATTGAATTTGTAAATTGCAAATTAATCCAGTATTAGCAATGTTTTGACAAAAAACACATACCTAATAATTATCAATCATATGGAATAAAAAAGTATTTATTGTAGAGGGGAATTAGTTTTACTAATATTCAATGTTGTTCAACCATTAGTGCTGGTATTAACTAGTATGATGGGGATATTTGTATTTAGTAAAAACAGTTTCTTAAATGTATAACCTACTTTAAAATATTACATTAATAAAATAATCACTTAAATAAGCATTTTGATAAATTCTTAATCAATTGACATTTCAGTTCTCTTATTTTTTTTTTTTAATTTGCATCTTGTTCAGCAAACAACTACTACTAAATTTGCTATTAATGTTCTCTGTATTACCAAGATCTGGTACACAATGTTCACTGAATCAAATGGCAGAAGAAAATTCATACTCTCAGAGTCATGTGCTTTCTCAAAATTCTTATGTAGCATCCTTGCAAATGGGACACTTAGCACAAAATAATGATGAAATATCCATTTAAAATTAAGAAGAAGCAAATGACTCCATCATTCATGAATGAGTTTATCCTCAAGCAAAAATTAGGGCCTGGAGGTAGTAAACTTTGAGTACTCCGGAGTAGGATATACTACATAGCATGGCATGGTATTGAAACTATTGAGATATTCTTAAAGTTATGCCTCAAATAGAGAAAATTGAGACAAGCTTAGTTTGCTCTGCAATTCTGTATCTTTTGTTTATACAAATTGGCAAAATAATAATTTTTTTTCTAGTGTAAAAACAATTTGGGTCCACTTTCTTACTGAATTTTTAAACGTCTATTATAGTATTGTTTTTTTTTTTTAAGATTTATTTATTTATTTGAAAGTCAGAGTTACACAGAAGAGGAAGGGTAGAGAGAGAGAGTTCTTCCATCCGATGGTTCGCTCCCCAGTTGGCTGCAATGGCCGGAGCTGCATCAATCCAAAGCCAGGATCCACGTGCCTCTTCCAGGTCTCCCATGCGGGGGTAGGGCCTAAGGACCTGGACCATCTTCTACTGCTTTCCCAGGTCATAGCCAAGAGCAGGATCAGAAGTGGAGCAGCTGGGTTTCAAACCGGTGCCCGTATGGGATGCTGGCGCTTCAGGCCAGGGCATTAACCCACTGCACCACAGCACCGACCCCTATTACAGAAATGTTAACTACATGTACACTGCTGCATAGCAGAGTTCTAGAACTTATTGCCTTTGTGTAATTGAAACTTTATACCTGTTAAACTACAATTTCCCATTGCTCCTTCATTATGGCCTATGTCTATGAGTTTGTGTATTGTAGATGTAATATAAGTGGAATTATGTAACATTTGTCTTGTGACTAATTTCTCTTAGAATAAGATGTTCCACAGCCATCCATATCGTTGCCTAGGACTCATTTTTCAAGACTAAATAGTAGTCCACGGTGTACATTTATCACATTTCTTTTTTTTTTTTTTCAGTTATCATGCCTTCTGTTTTTTTTTTTTTAACTTTTATTTAATGAATATAAATTTTCAAACTACAGCTTATGGATTACAATGGTTCCTCCCCCCCATAACTTCCCTCCCACCCGCAACCCTCCCCTTTCTCTCTCCCTCCCCCCTTCCATTCACATCAAGATTCATTTTCAATTATCTTTATATACAGAAGTGTCGCTCCCCCTCTTCGTGGAGGAGCAACACTAAGCCCTGCCTAGGCTTCATATCCGAGTCTAGGTGTCCTATCTGAGTCACGGCACCATTATGTCGCTCCCCCTCTTCGTGGAGGAACGACACAGGACCCTGCGCTGTTCTTTCTGTCTGCTCGGCCCTCCCCGGGTTTGCTGCTGGTTCTTCCCAGGTTGGCTACTGACCCTTCCACCTCCGTGGAAGGGCAGTTCCCCCTGGCCACATTCCCCACTTCCGCAGGGGAGCGGCACACCGCCGGCCGGCTCTTCTCGGGGGCTGCACAGGTGTTCCTTCAGCTAGATGTTCCCCTTAGATGTTCCTCGTGCATGCCGTCTCTCTCCTCCTTTATAGTCCTCCTCTGCCAATCCCAACTCGGCTGCCCACACGCCGAGTACGCTGCTCTCCTCCAATCAGTAGCAAGTCCTACAGTTTATTGGTTGAACTGGAGGCAGCTGTGCGGAAGCTGTTTACTTCTCTCCCAGCGCCATATTGTGGGAGAGCAGATGCATAGAATAAGTCTTAATTCCAGTAACTCAGTCTAGTCCAGTTTGCTCCCCACACAGAAGATCAGTTTAGCATATATTAAGTAAAGATTTCAACAGTTTGCACCCACATAGAAACACAGAGTGAAAAATACTGTTTGAATACTAGTTATAGCATTAAACCACAATGTACAGCACATTAAGGACAGAGATCCTACATGAGGAGTAAGTGCACAGTGACTCCTGTTGTTGACTTAACAACTTGACACTTGTTTATGGCGTCAGTAATCACCCTTGGCTCTTGTCATGAGTTGCCAAGGCTATGAAAGCCTTTTGAGTTCACCGACTCTGATCATATTTAGACAAGCTCGTAGTCAAAGTGGAAGTTCTCTCCTCCCTTCAGAGAAAGGTACCTCATTCTTTGATGACCTGTTCTTTCCACTGGGATCTCATTCATGGAGATCTTTCATTTAGGTCTTCCTTTTTTTTTTTTTTCCAGTGTGTTTTGGCTTTCCATGCCTGAAATACTTTCATGGGCTTTTCAGCCGGATCTGCATGCCTTAAGGGCTGATTCTGAGGCCAGAGTGCTGTTCAGGACATCTGCCATTCTATGGGTCTGCTGTGTATCTCACTTCCCTTGTTGGATCGTTCTCTCCCTTTTTGATTCTATCAGCTAGTATTTGTTGACAGATACTTAGGTTGTCTCTGCATCTTGTCTATGGTGATTAATGTTGCAACAAACATAGAATAGGGAGAAATGAAATACAGTAAGAAGTGTAATTGGCTATTCTATTTTGAAACACTGAGATAACCTCATACTTTGTTCCATAGCTCTGCATCATTTACATCTCCACCAACAGTGCACAGGTATTCCAGTTTGTTCACATTCTCACCAAGACTTCATACCTTTTATTTATGCAATAACCTATGTACATATAGTGAACTGACCTTCAACTAGGGTGCCTAGAAAATAATAAGAATACTCTCTCAGCTAATGGTCCAAGGACAACTGGACCTCCTTGTGGAAAAGAATGAAATAGTCCTTATAATACAGAGTCCACAAAATCAACTCAAAATAGATTCATGGTCATAAGGTCCATATCAATATAACTGGAAGAAAATATAGCAGAAATTTTGATGGCATTGATCTGGACAATGATTCCTTGAATATGACACCAAAATCATAGGTAATAAAAGCAGAAAGAAATAAAAATCAGATGTAATGGCTTCTGCACACCAAAAAACCAACAAAGAAAAAAAGACAAAATAAGAAATGGAGAAGATATTTCAACCATGTATCTAATAGGAGATTAATATCTAATATATGTAAATAACTCTTGCAACCTTGTTCCAGTAAACAACCCAATTAGAAATGGACTGAGGAGTTGAAATGACGCTTACTAAAAGATGACATGAGAATGGGCAACAGATGATATGCGGCAAGATACTCAAAGTTGATAATTGTCAAGATGAAAATCACAACAGCATATAACCTCACAACTGTTAGGATGTTTATTATTTTATTTCATTTTTTAAAGATTTATTTTATTGCTTTGAAAGGGTTACAGAGAGAGGTAGAGACAGAGAGAGAGGTCTTCCATCCACCGGTTCACTTCCCAGATGTCCGCAACCCCGGAGTTGTGCCAATCTGAAGCCAGGAGCCAGGAGCTTCCTCTGGGTCTCCCACGTTGGTGCAGGAGCCCAAGGACTTGGGTCATCTTCCACTGTTTTCCCAGGCCATTTCAGAGAGCTGGATCAGAGGAAGAACAGCCAGGACTAGAACTGGCGCCCATATGGGATGCCGGTGCTTCAAGGCCAGCGTTTTAACTCGCTGTGCCACAGCCCTGGCCCCAGGATGGTTATTATTTTAAAAAATAATTTGGAATCCACTTAGCTCTAGTAATTTACTCCTTCATGATTATTGCTATTACAGTTTGTTTTCTCCATATTCAAAACCTGTGTAAATATTAGCACACTGTTCATGTCATAGTATTTTTGAAGACATTTGGAACTGAGGGTGCTTTGCATAGTTGTCAAGAGCACATGAACAGGAGCCAGCTGGCCTTTTTGTGATTTAAAATTGCAATGATTTTCAATATTATTATCTTCATTCTAAACCTTGGGGAAAATATTCTCTTGTTTTAGTGAAGAGGAAATCTTAGAAATATTAAATGATGCAAACTCTATCTCATAACTTGTATACCAGCTCATTTCTTTTACAGTATTGGTTTGTGCATCATTTATCTAATTTTATACCTCTTATTTATTGATAAAAGTTCTTTTTTAAAGCTAAAAGCCTCACTTGTATAAGTGTTGACATTTTAAAGCTGCTCTGTTGCACTCCCATTTGCTATATCACTGCCAGTTTATCCAATTAGTCTGACAACACATGTAGTCTCAGTAGTCACCTTGTCTCGGAATCACTGATCCCAAGATCAACAGATAAGTGTTGCTGATTTTCAAACCCATGCACACGATGTTATTCTTAATCATGGATGTCCTCGTGCCTTTCTGTCTGTGACAAAAGCATTGTGAGCTGACTTGAGTCATCTGTGGTAAGCTGTTGTCATTACTGAGAATTTCACCTTCCAAAGATGTAAACAAGTCTCTTGCTGTCCATTTTTACACTGAGAAGTCTTAGGAGCAATTCCTTTTACCAGGTTGCTAAATTTAAATATGGTTTGACATTTTACTTAAAAGTTCCCAACATGCCTATTTTTCAAGAAAGGAATTTAAAATAATTTAATAATTTTCTATAAGTTTAATAAATATAATTGCATTCTTCTTCTATGTATCATTATACAGTCTCTTAGGAAAGTTGATAATTTGACCATTAAATCAATCTGTTAACAAACAGGTTTTTAGTATCTGCATGTGCACTATTGAAATATAAGTTCTGTAGTTACAAGTAATTAAATTTTGAATAAATGTGTGCTGAATGGTGTAATTCTTTTTGGTTTGCTATTCACTCAGTTTATTGACTTAATTGTACATGAATCTAACCATTTAGATTGCTATGTAAGTTAAACTCAGAATGTATTACCAGCTTTTTAAAGAATGTAGTTACGTGAGTAGACTTGCTTCTACAATATTCAGAGTTCTCCAGTTCAGTAGATTATCAACATAATATTACTTCTCCCTCTTTACACCCGACTTTTGACCTTTTTAGTGCTTTTTCACACCACTAATAAATGAACAGAATTGATATTAAACCTAAATTAGTCTACTTGTTAGTCAGCCACTGAGTCAGCAAGGTTCTGCTGGAGTCTACAGCATACAAATTACAGCAATTTTCTCTTTGGTAATCTCTTAGGCAGAGTGAACATCACTTTCTGAAAAAGTACAATGCATTAATTATGGCATTTTACAGATGCAGCCATTTATGTTTCTTCTATTTCAGCACATATTAATTGTTGTTATTTCTATCACCATTCTAATTTTTTCTTATAGAAAAAAATAACATTTTGTGGAATTTTAAATATGTTAATTTCTGTATAGACATGGTAACAGACTAGCAATATTTTATAATATTGTATGCTATTTTTATGTTTTGGTTTAAACAAACAGAACATTCGTTACCTATTTGACAGTGAGTCTTAAGTAAAGTAAGCACCAGTGCATCCCAGGAATGTGAATAAGAATCCAGGTTGTCTCCATATCTGTGATATGTCATCTGTATGCTAATTATTTGCATACTAATTATCCTCCTAGACACAAGATAGCTGCCAATAGTAATTGGTAGAACTTTTGCCCTGGGTTTCGTGTGTTAGAATAAAGACCGAAGGATTTGAGGATAGAGTATTGGGTGGACAGAAAGAAGGAAGTGAGAATTATGTGAGTACCTCAAAAGTGGTTGGCCGGCACCGCAGCTCACTAGGCTAATCCTCCACCTTGCGGCGCTGGCACACTGGGTTCTAGTCCCGGTCGGGGCGCCGGATTCTGTCCCGGTTGCCCCTCTTCCAGGCCAGCTCTCTGCTGTGGCCAGGGAGTGCAGTGGAGGATAGCCCAAGTCCTTGGGCCCTGCACCCCATGGGAGACCAGGAGAAGCACCTGGCTCCTGCCATAGGATCAGTGCAGTGCGCCAGCCGTGGCGGCCATTGGAGGGTGAACCAATGGCAAAGGAAGACCTTTGTCTCTGTCTCTCTCTCACACTGTCCACTCTGCCTGTCAAAAAAAAAAAAAAATAGAATATAAATTATTTCGTTTAGCCTGATTGGGATAGTTTAGATCACATGCCGTCTATTTGACCAGTGAAAGCCACCAGAAAGCATTTTCCAGTGATTTGTTGGGACTAATTAGAATGTACCCAGAGTCACTAATGCAGTAAGCTTCCCTGAGTCACATGGGCTATATGGAAAAAGTGTCAAAAATGACACAAAATTAAATTGTTTGTGTGGAAGATTTTATCAGTTCACTATCAAATATCTATTTCCTGCTTCCTGTTACCTAGAGGAATTCTAATTCTATCCATGCTCTTTTTATGAAAATATAAACTTAAGTTTTAAAATTAAAAATTTCATTGACATCCAAAAACATGGTCAATAATTTAATTAATATTAAAGGACTAACTGGTGACTACAACAGATGGAAATACTGTGATTTAGAAGATATAATTATTGGCACAAGCATTCTTCATTCTGGTGCACAAGAATGCAAATAGTTGGAAAATAAGGATACAGCCAAAAGTATGTAAAATGTAAGAATGGTAGTGTCTATTTTTTAAAAATACTGCAACAGATATATATATGTATATACACATATTTAAATTTTTATTTTTCCACAACAAGTTGAAGAATCCACCTCATATTTGTGTGATTGTCTGTTGTTTTCAACTGCCCTGCACTACAGTTTGACAATAGCTACCAGTTAATGTGCTTCCTAGTGGGTAGCAGGTGATGGCTCAGGTAGCTGAGTCCCTGAGTACCTACCACCCCTGGTGGAGAGTTGAATTGAATTCCAGGCTCCTGTTTTGCCCTGGCTTAGCCTTAGCTGAACAACTGTGGAGTGAACTGGCAGGTAGAGGATGTGTCTCTCTCAACCTCTCTCTCTCTCCCTTTTTCTCTCTCTCACTATCTTTCTCCCCACTGCCTAAAAAATAAAAAGTAAATAAATATTAATAGCAACATTAGTCTACAGATAAAAAATAAAAAATAGGGGCCAGTGTTCTGGCTTAGTAGGTAAACTGCTGCCTGTGACACCAACATCCCTTATGGCACTGGTTCACATCCTGGCTACACCAGTTCTGATCCAGCTCCCTGCTTATGGCCTGAGAAAAGCAGCAGAATGTGGCCCAACAGTTTCGGCCCATGCACTCATGTTGGAGGCTCAGAAAAGCTCCTGCCTCTGGAGCCCCAACTGTTGCGACAGAATGGGGAGTGAACCAGCAGACAGAAGATATTTCCCTCTCTGTAACTCTGATTTTCAAGTAAATAAATAAATAAATAAATCTTTTTTTTTTAATTAGCACTTCTTTATTATCTCTTATTTTACTGCATCCATATGAACAGAATATATATATATATAGAATAGAATAGAATAGAATAGAATAGAAGCGGGGTCGCATTGCCAAAAATTTAGGGAGAAAGTTTACTAGATTAATAAGAATCCCTGTATTTTATTCCCTACATATGAAAAAAGGCAATATGCTCTTTATGATTCAAAAGCAAGAGGTCTTAAAAGGAAACTTTAAGGGACGGGCACTGTGGCAGAGCAGGTAAAGCTGCATTGCTTGCATTCCATATGTGCACCGGTTCAAGACCCAGATGCTCCACTGCAGATCCAGCTCTCTGCTATGGCCTCGGAAGGCAGTAGAAGATGACCCAAGTCCTTGGGCCCCTGAGCTCATGTGGGAGATTCAGATGAAGCTCCTGGTTCCTGGGTTTGGATCGGCTCAGCTCTGACTGTTGTGGCCAACTGGGGAGTGAACCAGCAGATGGAAGACCTCTCTTTCTCTCTCTCTCTCTGTGTAACTCTGACTTTCAAATAAGTAAATAAATCTTTTTTAAGAAAGGAACGTTTAATAGGTTAGGGCAATGTTTCTGTGTGGCAATGTGCAGAAATCTAATAGCAGTAAATGATGTTATCAAGTAGTCTGGGAATTGCACATTGTAACACCAATTAGAGTTCCAGCTGCCCGTTTCCAGTCCAGCTCCCTGTGAATGCTTCCCAAGGCTCATGTACATGGACCTCTACCACCCACATGGAAGACTCTTTTGTAGTTCCAAGCTCCTGGCTTCAGCCTGACCCCCTGACAAATCAGGCCATTTGGGGAGTGACCCAGTAGACAGAATTTCTCTCTCTCTCTCTCTCTTTCTCTCTGTCTCTCTCTCATTCTGTTTTTCAAATAAATGAACATGAAAAAAATCAAGACGTCTGCAGTTAGGTTTTTTGTTCTTTGTAAGAGGAAGAAGTTATATAACTATGAACATATGAAAGTCACATACAGTGTGCAGTGTTTTATTCCTGATATTGTTCCCTACAAGCAACTTACTGTTGACTAACATTTACTCGATGGTAAAAATTTCATTAAACTAGACGTCATTGCCAGGTGCAGAAAGAGGCATTTTTGCTGAAGCACTCAGTAGTTCACTCTAAAATGTTATTCTTTTTGATGAAATATCAAAAAAAGTAAGATATTTCATATAAGGATTCAGCTTTTCCGTCTTTCTTGAAAAAATGTGTATGTGTAATGACAATATTGGGCCTGCATTGCCAAAAGGCAGCTATCTGAGCTGACAGTCACGGACCTTTAGATGGTTACATGTCCTCCCCACCTCCCTAACTCTTCCTCCCCACCATCCCTCTGCCATGCCATGTCTCTTATACTTTATTTATTTTGCTCGTTGTAAGACCCACCTAATTTGAATTTCCAATTTTTGCTCTATTTTAGCAGAGCATATTTTCATGACAAATGTTTATAGATTACTTAAATCTGCAGTTATTATTGTGTCAACCCCATCCCCATGTTACCTTCAATCCATAAAAAAGAATCAATAATTATAATGGTATATTGAGGCATATGAGCCTGAAGAATTTTTAACCATGATTTTGTTAAATAGAAATTTCTAAGAACTCATTTGCATTTCTTGCAAGAACTGTGAATTCAATTAATACTGGAAAGAATTGCATTGCTTCTGGTGGATTTCCTTATAAAGAAAATTAACTAAATCAACTATAGTTTGGGTTTTTTTTAAAGATTTATTTATTTATTTGAAAGTCAAAGTTGCACAGAGAAGGAGAAGTCTTCCATCTGCTGGTTCCCTCCACAATTGGCCGCAATGGCCGGAGCTGCGCCAATCCAAAGCCAGGTGCCAGGAGCTTCTTTCAGGTCTCCCAAGCAGTGCAGGGCCTCAAAGACTTGGACCATTTTCTACTGCTTTCTCAGGCCATAGCAGAGAGCTGGATAGGAAGTGGAGAAGCCGGGTCTTGAACCGGTGCCTGTATAGGATGCCAGCACTGTAGGCAGTGGCTTTACTCTCTAAGCTACAGTGCTGGCCAACTAAATCAACTATAGTTAATAATTGTATAGTGAATCTTTAATTTCTTATTCTCAGATTGAATTTTGACCTGAGAAAACTTGATTTATACTTTAAGTAAATGCTCCATGAATTAAGTGGTCACATTACACTGTCCACACTGATAAACTTGATGTGTAAGTTATGAATAACTTGTACGTTACAACTTTATACAAGTATATATTAAGTATATAATCACAGAAACACATATTGAAAGATATTTGTATAAATGAATACTTGAATATCAGTTAGAAAGTCAGTAGTACTTGCTTGCATTTGATTTTTAAAATTAGATAATTGTTCTTAATAATATAATTAATCAGACTTCTTCCATTTTTATTAGCAAAGATTATTAGCTAAATAGAACATTATTAAATTTTTATTTTTTAAAAAAACTTGCCACCAAGATCAGAAACAGAAAAACCACTAGGAGGCCTTTTTAATCTGTTCTGCTTATTTTATAGTTTGTAAGTTTATAACTTTCATTCATGAGATAAAAAATCTTTTTGAATAGTGTCATTAGATATAAGTTTCATTCATCACTGAATATTGATTTTCAAGATAGTATTTGGAATTTTCAAGTCATAAAATGTAACTTAAATTTTTACTTTAAGATTATTTTGTTCATAGTAACATTTAATTGCAATAATGCACAAAGTAAGTCACAATAGAAATTTCTAGTTCCAATTGAGAATGCTCTAATTCCTATATAAGTGTAATTGGTAATATTTATCTTTAAATATCAAGTTTTCAAAGATTAAACTATCAACATATAATCAAGTTTACTTTCACTGTTTATATATATATATATTTATGTAATAACTACAAATGAGAACTTTGAAAAAATATAATCATCTACAATATTGAGAAGCATATGCTAAATAAATGCAAAACACTCTGAAAAAATTAATATAATTTTTGTAAAGTAAATTAATATTGAATACAATGAAACAACCTTCTTTGCAACAGAAAATCAATTTTCTAAGTGGGGACTTGACAATAACATTCCATGGCCTCCGTGATGATAATCATTTTTGTTAATGTGGTAGTATGTGAAGACAGAGAGCCATTTGATCCTGCAGCAACACCCATCATGACAATAGGGTGGTGACACAGCTCACATGGGCTGCCTTATCAATCCATCTCTGCTTGCTCCTTTTTCTGGTGTCTAAAAATTGTGTGAGATATCTTTCAACTTTTCTCTTAATGGCTCTTATCTTGATTAACCTTACATTTTTATTCTTTTATCATCTATCTTGACTTTTGAAGATAAAGTTTCTACTTAAATCTCATTTTTAAATGTATTCAGACTCTTAAAAAATGATTGAAGACAGAAAAGGGCTCAGTTGCTTTAAGCGGGCTATCTATTGATATTATGTTAGAGATCATAGCATATATGTAAGTGTGTTTCTTAATTAAAAGATATAACACATGTTAATATTAATAAAATAGTTTGTGAAAAATAACTATGGACTAAAATTCAAAATATTACTTTGTTTTATATTTCTGGGAGTTTTCATGTCTGAGTCCATAAATTACAGTGAGATCCTCATAACTGCCTCTGTATTCCATCCACTGCAATCATATACATCATACCAAAAACAAAACCAACATTTATATGATTTTACAGGCAAAATATCCAGGACCTCCAAGAAACTGGGCAGCAATAGAAGGCTTGAGTAAAATGCACAGGTAGCTGGCAAGTAGCTACAAGAATTAGGAATACAAAACCAACAAAGTCCCCTGAAGATAACTGTCACAGAAATAATAGTAAATGCAGAAGCATAAGTTGTAAATAAAATGGCTTGAAATTCTAAATCAGATGGGAACACGAGTATCTTATTGTTTTAAATGAAACTAATTTAAGAGTCCATTTCACATCCTTTGGAAATTTAAACCATTCCCTGAGACTAATAATTCTAATGAATCTATATTATGCATAAATACTCTTAATACTAACCTCCTAAATGAAAATATCTGTTTAATTTTTATGTCAAATGGCTAAAAATTTAATATTCAAACATTCAAAAGTTTCACTAGTATAAGCAGTGGAAGTTATCTTCCTCCCCTGATGTCCACTGTTTATCTTGTTTTCTTCCCTATGGGCAAACACTCATGAGTTTCATGACTACTCATCTGGAGATGGCCAATGTATTTGCAATACAAGTATTCTATTATCTGTCATCTATATGTATATGCACACCAGTGATCATTTTGTTTTTATATTAAATAAGTTTTTCTCTTTGTGTATTTATCTCAAAATATATCTATGGGGCCAATGCTGTGGTTTAGTAGGCTAAGAATCTGCTTGTAGTGTGGGCATCCCATATGGGCACAGGTTCATGTCCCAGCTGCTCCTCTTCTGATCCAGCCCTCTACTATGTCCTGGGAATGCAATGGCAGTTGCTTCAGCCCCTGCACCCTTTTGGGAGACCTGGAAGAAGCTCCTTGCTCACGGTTTCAGATTTGCATAGATCAGGCTATTGTGGCCATTTGCAAAGTGAACCATGAGGTGGAAGATCTCTCTTTCTCAATCTGCAATTCTACCTCTCAAATAGATACATAAAATACTCAAATAGAAATATATCTATGACATATTTCCATATTTTAATCTTATTCTATTAAAAGCTACAATACATGGTAGACTATCTTCTCTCTACATATATGCTGTATATTTATTGTTTTAATTGTTTTAAAGATTTATTTTATTTATTTGAAAGGCAAAGTTACAGAGAGAGAAAAAGAGAGATCTTCCATCTCATGGTCTCACTCTAAACAGTCATAACTCCTGGGGTTGGGCCAGGCTAAAGCCGGGAGCCAGAAGACTCTTGCATGTCTCTCACATGTTTGCAGAGGCCCAAGCACTTGGGCCATTCTCTGTTGCTTTCCTAGGCATATTAGCAGGGAGCTGGATCAGAAGTGGAGCAGCCAGAACTTGACCCACAGCCCATATGGGAGGCCGGTGCTGCAGGTGGCAGCTTAACCCACTGTGCCACAGCGTGGGCTCTTATGTATGCTATTTTAAAATACAATAATTTCTATAAATTATACACTATAGTATAATCTACAAATTATCATATATATATATACCCTCTCACATATGTTTGTATATATTTATATGTGTGTTTTTATCTACATTAATTTTAAGTGTCAACTTGAGTTGGTTAAAAAATACCACGAGCTGGTAAAGTCTCATTCCTGGGTGTGTCTGTGAGTGTTTTCAGAGAATGTGGGAAGTGAGCAGCTGGACTGAGTATGAATGATTCTCACTCATTATGGTTAGGCACCATTCATTTACTGGGGACTAGAAAAAAGCACAAAAAGCATAGGAGAGTTGACCTCTGTTTCTTTCCTAGAACTGTGAAAACCTTCCTCCCTCACTTATGAACATCAGAACTCTAGGATGTCTAGAATTTGGCTTCTGAGATATATAACAGTGGCCTCTGGATCTTGAGGCCTTTGGCCATGGAAAGGGAGGTACATAATAGGCTTTCTGCTTTGGTTCTGCAGTATTCAGACTTGAACTGAGCCGTGCTACTGGGGTCCCAGGTTGTCAATATGACATGTAACCTGACATACGACTTCTAATTTTCCTAAGTGCTTGAAACAATTCTCCTATACCAATATGCATATATTCACATTTATGTCTTCGGTCTATATCTCCAGAAAATTATGACTAATGTATAAAAACACACATTTCACACAATTTGTGAATTCATCTGTAAATATTAACTGGCAGTAAAAACGTTAACCAATAGGCAGGCACATTTGAAATTTTTGATTGATACTGGCACGTATTCATATGATATAAAAGCTATGAAAATTACTCTTCTTACAAAAAGGCCAAGACTATCCATTTTGCCATTGCATTCTTCAATGTTTATCTAACATTATTGTGCATATTATTCACCTTGAAATTAAAATGTCAATTATTATTCAGGAAGAGTGTAGCAGGACCTGAAGTTCTGCATAGCTAAACAAGCTGCTACTGATCATTATTGTTAGTCTAACACTTCAATAGCACAGCTATAGTTTAAGCAAGATAATGAGATTTCAATTCTCTATATCAATAAATTTTAAAAGATGCATGATGTATAAACATGACATTAATAGGTATAATTATTATAAATGAAAATGAGCATTTTCTACTTTTCTAGTTTTGAGAGAACTTTTCAATTTTGTGTTGCTCAGGAACAGCTTTTATTGCCTTTTGCCTATTTATTTTCAAAAAATTTTCCTTATTGGTGTATGATTTTGTTTGTATACCCAAAATATAACTTGTAAGAATGATGTTTTGGGGGCCGGCGCCATGGCTCACTTGGTTAATCCTCTGCCTACGGCACCAGCATTCCATATGTGTGCCAGGTTCTAGTCCCGGTTGATCCTCTTCCAGTCCAGCTCTCTGCTGTGGCCCAGGAAGGCAGTGGAGGATGGCCCAGGTGCTTGGGCCCTGTACCTGCATGGGAGACCAGGAGGAAGCACCTGGCTCCTGGCTTCGGATTGGCGCAGCTCCAACCATAGCGGCCATTTAGGGGGTAAACCAAGGGAAGGAAGACCTTTCTCTCTGTCTCTCTATCTCACTCACTGTCTAACTCTGCCTGTCCAAAAAAAAAAAAGGTGTTTGATAGATTCAATGTTTCTTAACATTTATGTGGCATGTTTTTATTATTCTTCATGTTCTTATTATTCTTTGTACAAAATAAACTTGAGGGAACCGGAGCTGTGGCTCACTTGGTTAATCCTCCACCTGAGGCACAGGCATCCTATGTGAGCACCGGGTTCTAGTCCTGGTTGCTCCTCCTGCAGTCGTAGTGGCCATTTTGAGAGTGAACCAACAGAATAAAGACCTTTCTCTCTCTCTCTGTCTATAACTCTAACAGTCAAATAAATTTTTTAAAAAATCTACAAAATAAACTTGAATTCTCTTTATTTATTTTTCTTTTTATGTTTTGGATTTGGGATTTAGAAATATCTTCCTGAATTCCCATTTCTGACTGCTTAGATTTAAAAAAAAAAAAACAGTGATGTGGAATAGGCACTGAAGTAAGGATTATGATCATGAAAAAACTTACTATGCTTACTCAACATGCTCATTAAATAGTGCACAATTTTTTTTTGCAAAATCCAACCCCCCATCAATATATGCAGCAAATATTTTGACATAGGGTAATTTCATTTGTTTCTTTTTCAGGTCTTTGATTGCTTCATACTCTATGTCTACTTCATATTACAGCATATTTTAATTAATGTATCTTTATACTATTTTATAAAAACAAGGTATTTTATCAAAAAATAAACAATAAAATGCCATTTACACTAGTACTTTCCAGAATTAAATACTTGAGTATAAAATTAACAAATTAAAAATAAGACTTATATGAAGCAAACATCAAAATCATGTTGAAAGATATCAAAGAACTAAATAAATAGGGAAATAATCAATGTTTATGGATAGGATCACTTAATATTGTCAAGATGCCAGTTACAAATGTCAATTCATATATTGAACATAATTCAATCATAATCTCAAAATCAGTAGATTGTTGATATTCACAACCTGATTTTAAATTTTATAAAGAGATGCAAAATACTCAAAAGCAACTTCATATTAAAGGAACAAATATAGGAGGAAGACACATATTACCTAATTTGAAGAATTACTATAAAGTTAAGGCTTCTGAGAGAGTGTGGTGTTGATAAAATAGTAGACAAATAAGTAGATAGAACCTAATGGAAAGTCCACAGGTACACCCTAGGTAGAAATAGTCAACTGCCTTTGATAAAGGAATGAGGCAATTAAAAGGCTTTAAGATCATGATTTCAACAAATCAACTCAGAACAACTTAACATGCATATGAAAAACAAGCAAAACAAAAAACCCTAAGAATTGAACTTTTCAAAAAAATAAACTCACAATTTACCACAGACCTAAGGGTAAAATGTAAAACTATAAAACTGCTAGGAAATAGCATAAGAGAAATCTCAATGATTTTAGAAGTGGTAAAGACTTTTTAGATAGAATACCAAAGCACGGGCCATGGAAGAACTTTTAAGATTTATGACTTTTTTGAAAAAGATGCACAGAAAGAGGAAGAGACAGAGAAATAGCAATTTTCCATCTGCTGGTTCACTCACCAAAGCGCTGCAAAAGTTGGGCTTGGGCAGGCTGAAGCCAGGAGGCAGTAACTTCTCCCACGTGGGTGGTAGAGGCCCGAACTTGGACCATCTTCTGTTGCTTTGCCCAGGCTATTATATTATCAGGGAGCTGGATCAGAAGTGGAGCAGCTGAGATATGAACTGGTGCACATGTGGGACTCAGGCCTTGCAGGTGGAGGCTGTAGGCTTAACCTATCTGGAAACACAGGCAGAAGTAAAGTTATATTTCAAAGGCTATACACACACACACACACACACACATATATCATAATTACAGCAATACATTCCTCATGAGGTTGGAAAATGTGTTAATATTTGATTAAACAATTAAACTAATGGTTAACACAAAGAACGGTATGGTGTTTGATAAATTTAGTCTAAAACAGAAAATAATTAGATTACTTACTTATCAGTGGGAAGAGATAATAAATAGTATTCTTATACATAAATATTTATCATGAAGAAATGTGGTAAAAATTATTGGTAATCCCACTGTGGCATTTATTGTTTAGAAAAAATCATCATTTTTAAAAATGTTGTTGATTTATTAGTGTTTTTTTTTCTGTCAGATCCAAACTCTTAGGTGTAGGAAACTAATAAAATATTGCTGGGCATGCATTGTGGAATAACAGCTGAAGCCTCTCCTGACACGCCAGCTCACATATGGGCACATGTTGGAGTTCTACCCGCTCTTCTTCTGATCCCTTTCCCTACTAATGTGCTTGGGAAAGCAAGGAAGATGGCCCAAGTGCTTGGGTCCCTGCCTCACATGTGGCAAATGAATTTCCAGACCTCTGGTTTTAGCCTATCCCAGCCCCGGCCATTGCAGCCATTTGGGAAGTGAACCAGCAGATAGATGATCTCTTTCTCTCTCTCTCTCTCTGTCTCTCTCTGTCTCTCCCTCCCTCTCTCTCTCTGCTGTTCAAATCAATATATCTTTAAAAAAGCATTGCATAAAAGGTAATACTAATTCTTGAGAAAAACTATAGCCCAATGTTTTAGTACAGTTAAAAAGGAGACAGTAATATGAAAATTATCAACTATCACTAATTGGTATTTAATATTTTAAGAATATTATCCTAGAAAAGTTTTCAGATCCCAGTTCATCTTTTTTACTCTTGTTTGTATTAACAAAGTGAGAATTTTACCTTAATCAATTAACTTATGCAAACATTTCTTCTTTCATTTCATTTGGGAAACAAGGTGAGCAGAAATTAATTTGCATGATATTGGCTATAATTGGAACTTTTAATTAATATTTTTAATTTCAAAAATCAATTGAATTATGAACTGTTCTCAAAAAAAAAAACAGCTAGCACAAAATAATTGATGGAATTTGACAAGAACTACAATATTTTCCTAGCACTGATAAAGAGAAATTAATGAAACATCCTAATTGAAATTTTTTTAAAGATTTTTATTTATTTATTTGAGAGGTAGATTTACAGACAGTGAGAGTGAGAGAGCAAGAAAGGTCTTCCTTCCATTGGTTCACTCTCCAAATGGCCACAATGGCTGGAGCTGCGTCAATCTGAAGCCAAGAGCCAGGTGCTTCTTCCCAGTCTCCCATGTGGGTGCAGGGGTCCAAGGACTTAGACCACCTTCTACTGCTTTCCCAGGCCACAGCAGAGAGCTGAACTGAAAGAGGAGCAGCTGGGACTAGAACTGGCGCTCATGTAGGATGCCAGTGCCACAGGTGGAGGATTAACCTACTGTGCCATGGTGCTGGCCCCCTAATTGAAATTTTTAAAAATATCTGAACTCTCAGCATTTATCTATCGTTACTTGAAAGTATCATGCCTTTGTATTCTGATAGTAGTTTGTTTCATTAATTGTGTGACATTTATTTTCTACTATGAAATAAATATTTAAGTGTAAATACATATTTTGTATCCCGGGATACTGAACTGGTACCACCTGCAGACCTCAGGCAAAACAAACAAACAAACAAAAAACAAAAACAAAAAAACCCTCTATTTTAGTTTTAAATAATTCTAATTGATAGTCAAAGAAAGACAGTAACACAGCTAGATAAAGAGAGAGAAAGTGTGCCCATCAACTGGACCAAGCACCAGATGAGATCAATGAACAGGACTGGGAACCAAGAACTCCTTCTAGGTCTTTCCTGTGGGTGACAGGAACTCAACTGTTTGAGTCATTGTCTGCTGCTTCCCAGTGTGTGCACTGGCAGGAAGCTGGAGTTTGGGGCTGGAGGTGGGTGTCAAAATTAGGTAAGCGATATGGAATACAGACATCTTAACTGACATCTTAACTACAGGTCAAATATCTAACACAAAGCTGTTATTTTGTAAATACTTTCTCAGGGCCAGCATTGTGGCACAGCAGGATAAGTTGATGCCTTCAATGCTAGCATTCCACATGGGTGCTGGTTCAAGTCCTGGCTGCTCCAATACCAAACCGACACCCTGTTAATGCATTAATGCACCTGGGAAAATAGCACAGGATGCCATAAGTTCTTGGGACCTTGCTACCCATGTGGGAGACCCAGATGGATTTCCCATTTCAAGGCTTCAGCCTGGTCCAGCCCTGGCTGTTGTGGTTATCTGGGGAGTAAACCAGTGGCTAGAAGAATTCTTTCTCTCCTCTCTCTGTAACTCTGCTTTAAATAATAAATAAATCTTTTAAAAAATAGCTTCTAAGATGTTCCTAAAATTATCTTATTAGTGCTGATCATACAGTTCCTTAAGCAATTCTTTGGGGGGCAAAGGAAAAAAAAAATTCAGATAAATGTTCTTTATTCATGTGATTTTCAATCGTGTTTTTTTCCTTTTGAAATCATATCATATAGTACATAATGAAAAATATACTTCATAAAAAGTAGCAGACTTACTGATGGACTAGACTTCAAAACATGTAGCAGATACACCACTATATATTTTATGTAAATGTGATCATAAACATTGTATTTAAGTATATGTTCATAAAATTTTTACACATGCCTTTATTTTCCTTAGATTATTTTTTCTACAGAAATTTAACCTTATTTTAAAATTTAAAAAATAAAGATTTTATAGATTAGTATATATTTGGACTTTTTGGTATAACTACATTATGTAATAATCTAATATGTGTGAATTATTATACCAACACACAAAAGAAAAATAAAGCATAATGATCACATGTTATTTAGAAAATTGAACTTATTCTGTTTATTTTTTTGAGTTATGATGCTTAACTATTAGGTGTTTTTATGAGAAATAAGCTATTTATTATAATTAGGAAAAGTCATTTTAAAATGTTCATAGTAATAAATAGCATATATACAACAGCTTTACTTTATTTTTTAAAAAAGATTTTATTTGAGAGATAGAATTACAGACAGTGAGAGGGAGAGACAGAGAGAAAGGTCTTTCTTCTGTTGGTTCACTCTCCAAATGGCCACAATGGCCAGAACTGCTCCAATCTGAAGCCAGGAGCCAGGTGCTTCTTCCAGGTCTCCCATGTGAGTTCAGGGGCCCAAGGACTTGGGCCTTCTTCTACTGCTCTCCCAGGCCATAGCAGAGAGCTGGATTGGAAGTGGAGCAACCGGGACTAGAACCGACGCCCATATGAGATGCGCTACAGGTGGAGGATTAGCCTACTGTGCCATGGCACCAACCCCAAACAGCTTTACTTTAATTCTACCTTATTATCACAGTTTCAAAAGCTGTGTTCTAAAAGACAATGCTCTAATTTATCAAAAGAAACTAAAATATTGAACTTTTAGAATAGATGCAAAGTGTCATGGCAACTAGCTAAGAACAGTCTGTGTTTAATGTATACTGGGTTGAATAAAAAAAAAAAAAAATTCAGAGCTTCCACTGTGTTGTGATGGGCTAAGCCTCTGCCTGCGGCATCGGTATCCTATCTGATTCTCTGCTGTGTCCTGGTAGGGCAGTAGAGGTTGACCCAAGTGCTTGGGCTCCTGCACTCTCGCGGAAGACCTGAAAGAAATTCCAGTCTCCTGACTTCAGATCAGCCCAGCTCCAGCCATTGCAGCCATTTGGGGAGTGAACCAGCAGATGGAGGGCCTTTCTCTCTCTTTCTCTTTCTCTGTGGTTCTACCACTCAAATGAATAAATAAAATCTTAAAAAAAAAAGTTCAATGAGAAGGAAAATAAGACAGTGGTTCTTTCTAAAATGATAAAACTCAAAATTGAACTAAGTTTTCCTTCTATCTGAACTTGATTATAAAAAGTAGGTTGGATATTTTGGTTTCATTTTGGTAGGCTAAGTACTCATAAGGATATATCTCATTTATTTCTTTCTTTCTGTGTCATAAGCAATGCTCCTACACAAAACAGATTTACTGTAAATCATGGAATATTATTGTTTTTTAATTTTATTGAAGTACAATTTATATATTTAGCTCATATTAAAAAGAATTATAATCTCACTCATACATGATTGATAATATATAACACTATGATATAAATAAAAAAGAACTTACCAAATCCTTTTCTAGCTTAACAATGTCAATAAATCAATCAACTGATAAATAATAAATAACTGGAATACATTTTAAAACATTTTGCATTTTGGTGAGCTACTAGTGATAGATCATGAAGCGATTTTAAATAAAATATCACATCTTACATTTTAATGAAAACATGATGGGTTGTTCCATGAGTCCTTCAGGATTATGACTCTGGATACAGAACACATTTGCAACAGAAGTAGTTGCAATTCCTATTTGTAGGCCGTCTTCTAATTTAATAAGATAAATAGAAAAGCATATTTCCTTTATTCTATCATTTATTTAATAATTCTTTATATCCTTAGAAATAGTCTAAATTCTAATTTATACTAATATGTATGTGTATATGATCAATAAAGCATGGTACATTGAAATCAAAAATGCCCATCAAACTCTTGTACCATTTCTCTCAGAATTATCTGATACAAAAATGTTTCATTTCATATTTACATGTATACATATATATTTGAATATATTTGTGACTATATATGTATATTAATCTGTTTAATTATATTTTGATATTTGAGTTCAAGTAAACATAATGAAATTTACATTTTTTATTACAATACAAAATTGAGAAATATCAAATGATGTTCCAGGGGCCAGCACTGTGGCATCACAGGTAAAGCCTCTGCCTGCAGTGCCAGAATCCCATATAGTCACTATTTTGAGTCCTGGCTGCTCCACTTGGCAATCCAGCTCTCTGCTATGGCCTGAGA